GGTGAGTTGGTACATTATGCTTTTTACGCAGATGTCGAACCAGTCAATGTAGCTGAGGTATTGAAAGATTTGAAGTGGATGAAAGCAATGATTGAAGAGTTGGAGTCCATCGAAGTCAATGATACCTGGTCATTTGTCGAATTGCCACAAGGCAAGAATGCAATTGATGTGAAGTGGGTTTACAAGGTAAAGGTAAATCCTAAAGGAAAAGTAACTCGACACAAGGCGAGACTTGTGGCGAAAGGATTTCTTCAGAAGGAAGGAATCGACTTCGATGAAGTATTCGCACCTGTTGCTAGAATCGAAACAATCAGGTTGGTTGTTGGTCTAGCAAATATGAACAACTGGCACACATGTCAGATGGACGTGAAGTGTGCATTCCTTAATGGCCCCTTAGACGAAGAAGTTTATATTGAACAACCAGCTGGGTTTGTGAAACAAGGCGAAGAAAGAAAGGTGTACAGGCTTCATAAAGCCCTGTATGGACTTAAGCAAGCTCCAAGAGCTTGGAATAAGAAAATCTACAGCTTCTTAAGGGAGAAGGAATTTGTGAAGTGTACAACTGAGCATGGAGTATATGTAAGAAGAAGCAATGGCGAATTACTTATCCTATGTCTCTATGTTGATGATTTGTTGATAACAGGGAGTTGCAAGAAGGAGATCAAAGATTTCAAACATGACCTAAGTGAGGAGTTTGAAATGTCAGACTTGGGAAATCTCTCATATTTCCTTGGCATCGAATTCTACAAGACAAGTAGAGGTTTGATGATGCACCAAAGAAGATATGCAGGCGAAATACTCAAGAGATTTGAGATGCAAGATTGCAACCAAACTTCGACTCCAGCTGAGCCCAGATTGCAACTGTCGAAGGATTCAAATAAAGATGATGTCGACCCAACCCAATACAGAAGACTTATTGGGTCTCTTAGATACCTTTGTCACACAAGGCCTGACTTAGCATACAGTGTTGGTATGGTAAGTAGATTCATGCAGAAGCCAAAGGTATCACACCTAGCAGCGGCGAAAAGGATACTGATGTATCTGAAAGGAACTATCGACTATGGTATTTTGTTTCCAGCAGCTGATGAAGGAAAAGAATGCAAGTTAGTGGGATACACAGACTCCATTTGGTGTAGTGACGCTGAGGATCGAAAATCCACAGCTGGGTATGTGTTTATGTTAGGTGGTGCACCAGTTGCTTGGAATTCGAGAAAGGAACCAGTTATGGCATTGTCATCATGCGAAGCAGAATATATAGCTGCTTCTCTTTGTGCATGTCAAGCAACTTGGATGGTGAACTTTGTCGAAGAAATCACAGGGAAGAATCATGGAGCAATTATCATGAAGATAGACAGCATATCAGCTATCAACTTGGCGAAGAATCCAATAGCTCATGGTCGAAGCAAGCACATCGAAATGAGGTTCCATTATCTTCGAGAGCAGGTAGCAGAAAGAAAGATGAAGTTGGAACACTGCAGAACTGAGAATCAGATTGCAGATATCATGACGAAGGGAGTGCAGGTCGAAGCCTTCAGAAGACTAAGAGCCATGATGAATGTAGACAGTTTAGACACAATGAATTAGGTGGTGTGTTAAATATAATTCATTGTGTAAATAGTTTTGATATGATTATATTTGATTTTAATATTTTGGGCCTTTTATGTTTTTGGCTTTTGTAAACTTAAAACTATAAATAGGGTGTCTTGCTTTGTATTCAACACAACATTAGAACTGGATTCACAGTTGCAGTGTTAGCAAGTGAAGGTTCAAATAAAATCAGAAATCCCACAATTGTGGGTAACTCAATACTTTCTCATTCTTCTCTTTCTTGTGTGTTCTTCTTTTCTTTTCTCTTCTTGATAATTATTTGTTATTACCATTACTATCATATTGTGGGTTTGTTCATCAATCTTGAGATCAAGATTGAAGGGAATTCTTCATAGGGTGTGAGGTGAATTTTCAACAATTTTGATAAATCTTTTAATATTTTAATTTGTTTGGTATTTTTATTAAAAAACATAGTTATATTAAAAAAAAAAATTCGATTTCCGGTGAACAAACCTACCCTCTTAATATATAGATGATATGCCTTAAACAAATATAATTCGCTAGCCAGAAGCAGAATACTATCAATATCAATAATTGGAATACCTTCGGCCAATTAAACCGAAAAAGATTTTACCGAAAAATTGGAATACACTGCCTGAAACAACAATTTTACCGAAAAAGAAAACAAAAAAACAAAAACAAAAAATACAGCTCATCAATTCGGCCAGATAAACCGGCTGGGTTGCTATATTTCACAATGATTTGGTGGTATGCAACAAACTTTTCCTATATTTTCTCAATTTATGGATAAGCATTATCTTTATAAAAAATATTCCAATTAGAAACAGTTACAACAATTTTAGTTACGAATGAGAATGCACAATTTTAGTTACGAATGAGAATGCATCCCTAACGCAAATTTTTACGCAATTAGAAAAAAAAACTACTGATAATTACATGATTCTCTCTGAATTGGGATTATATTCTTGTTTATATTGTTGCTAATAGTTGTGAAAAGTTATGCTTTATTCTTCAACGTGACAAGTGACAACTTGAGTTTTAATTAAAATTGAAATTGATAGCATTAAATAACTAATTAGAAACAGTTACATATATACATAAGTTCCAACAAGCAAATTTTTCCGCAATTAAAAAAATTATATTAAAGTAGTACAAATGTATCAATACAAAACTTAAAGACATAAGAAACCTAGCTAATAACAAATTAAATCAATTTTTTCCCCTAAAACATGACATTGTATCAATTCTCAAGACCAGAAAAATCTCAATTACTAAGAACTTTTGACATAAAAAAAAAAAGAAAAAAATTACTAAAATAATAAAAAAGAGTAATGAAATCATAAACTTATTTATTACCTTTGAGATGAGTCCTTTTCTATAAATGGTTGTTCATCGTTATAGGAAACCTTATCAATCTCAGAATCAAGAATGAATAAATCATCAACATTAAACGATGTTTCCTTCTCTTTCAAATCAACTTTTTTGTGGCAAGTTGCATTACAAATGGTATCCTCACTTCCAAGGATTCCTCAAGGTATGATTCACGTTAAAGGTTTGGCATGGTCTAAAGGTTTACTTGAAGCTTCATTAAAACAAGATGTTTCTATGAATCTATCAAGAGGAATGCGACTGACCGGTGATTAAGCTGAAGGTGGGAAACAGAAAATTTGTTGAATTCAAGGATATTTCAAGTGATATTAGATTTTAAGCATTTATTTTGTTCTAAAAATTTGTCGTGCGTTGGTTTGCTTGAATTCAAGTAGTGGGGGGTTTTATTTAAAATCACTGTTTACTTTAAGGTTCTCGCATATGATATGAGTTTGTGAGTCAATTCAAAATTGTAGATACAAAGTGCAAACTAGGGATGCTCAAATAAACCGGTTATTCAAATTATCCATATCCATATCCAAATTCGGTTATTAAAAACCGATTAATTATTAGTATAGTTTTAACTAAATCCATATTTTGGATATATTATTAATATGGTTTTAACCAAATTCATAATTTGGATATCCATATCCAAAATAAAAAATCAGATTAATCAAATTTTATATATACAAAAAAAATTGAAACAAAAACTGTTATTCAAAAATTTTTTTTTTTTTAAAAAAATAATTAAAAAAAATAGTTTTATAGAAAAAGATTGTTTTAAAAAATATTTTTTCAATAAATATAAAAATACTGAAAAATTTTAAAAAAAAAAATTTTAAAAAATAATATTTTTTCCAAAAATTAAAATTATTTTTTTGAACATAAATATTTTTTCTTAAAATAAAAAATAATTTTAAAATTAAATTAATTATAAAATTGGTTAAGGATCGATTATAACATATTGATTATTTATGGTTATGGAAATTAACCGTCCATGAGCATCCCCAGTACAAACTCAATGTTTCTAAATCTATTCAAGTTATAATTTCAATTTTATTTAATGTTCAAGTTTAGAGGTTCAAGTTACAATAAATTCAATATTCATACAAGACTATTCCAAATAAGTTATCAACGCTTAAATTCAATATTCATACAAGACTATTCCAAAGAAATTACCTGATTAATGTCAAGGTTATGAATTCATGTAATTAAAGTTCAAGACAACATTCATAATCATCCTATAATTTAAGCTTATTACAAGGTTATCATATTCAAGTGAACTCAAGTCACCATTTTTAATATTCAAGCCAGAAAGTCAAGATTTTATTAATAGTTCATGAATTCATGGTTACAAAAAGAATACAAAGTTTCTTATGGCACCATCACATATGCTGTAAAGAAAAATCCAACAAATTCTAAACCAATAAAAAATAAACTTTCAAAACAGGTTCATATTTGTACTTTCCCTCTCCCATGCGGCTTCTTCACGACAATTTCATCTTTTTCAATACTCTTCATGGACCATCTCATAAGAGAACTAGAAGGAAAACAATATCATCTTTTTCAATACTCTTCATGTCGAATTTATAACTGTTAATGCGCGTATGATTATAAAAAGAAGGCACTATCAGTGCCCAGGGGGGAGAATTCACAAACATTTGTTTCAAAAAGACACAGAATTATTCACATCCAGTAGTAACAAACACACAGTATAGGGAGAAAAAACAGAGCACCACAAATTCACACGATAGGGAGAAAATATTTTATTAAACTAGTACAAATGTTTCAATACAAAACATAAAGATATAAGAAATTTAGCTAATAACAAATTAAATCAAATTTCTTTTTTTCCTAAATCATGACATTGTGTCAATTCTCAAGACTAGGAAAATCTCTTCAACAAAACATCAATGGTGTTCCTTGCACGTTCATCCGTGAAATTCACTCTTTCTATTTTGCCTCTCCATTAATCTGCATCATCAGTGAACTTTTAACATAAAAAAAGAAGAAAAAAATTACCAAGATAATAAAAAAGAGTAATGAAATCATAAATTTATTTACTACCTTTTAGATGAGTCGTTTTCTATAAATAGTTGTCCATTATTATAATAAACCTTATCAATCTCAGAATCAGGAATGAATAAATCATTAACATTAAACGGTGTTTCCTTCTCTTTCAAATCAACTTTTGCACTGGTCTGTGTATCAACACCACCACCATGAAGATCATATTCTTTATTATTGGAAACTCCTTCACTCAATTGTGCAACCCTTACAACATCCATCGGACTTATATTTAAATTTGTATTAGTCGGAGTATTGTTAACCTCACGAGGAATGATATCATTCAAATGCGAAGGATATGCATTCGTCATAGCTTCTATATTACTTTCACTATTATGACAATAATTAGAAACATTACCAACATCGTTAAATATTGGAATATTCGAAACATGTGGTTGAAGATTTGGATTTTGAGAACTTGTAGAAGGTAGCAAAGTGGAAAGATTTTGTGATTGTAAATTATTTATTTTACAATAATCCAGTAACTCTTTTACATGATATAACTCTTCAAGATTTTCGTTTATCCTATCACAAATTTCTTTAATAACACCCAGACATCCGTGAATCGGATATATCGCACGAACATTTGATTCATAAATAATTGTTTTCATTGCTAAATCTCTCATCTCTTGTGGAATTTTATTTAGAATCTCTATTATGTTAGAAACACCATACAAATTAAGAGCATTGTGAAACATTAATGGCTTATCGACCGGAAAATAAGGAGCTAAAATACAATCAGATGAACACTTTCTCCTTTGATGTTTGCATGCTGCACAAGCCTTGTTTGATTTGATAATATTCATTGTTAAGAAGGAGCAAAGGAGTTTTGAAAAGAAACAAAGAGGAAAAGAAGAGAGTTTAAGGTGATAATGATTTAATTAGGTTAATGACACAACCAACCATACTATTTATAATAATAAGATATTTAAATAATTATTAACAAACTCTCATATTTTTTCTCACTGATAAGTATTATCTTTTAAATGTTTAACTTATAGTCAAAGTTTGTTTTTTAATTTTTAATTTTTAATTTTTAATTTTTTTAAGCTATTAATAAAACACCGCCCTTACTGTTACTATTAAGTATAATTTTTAGAAAATTAATAAAACGCCTTATATTTCAGAATGGATATTTCGTTAGAATAATAGCTAAAATTTTTATCTTTAGCTGACGGAGAGTCTATATTTTTTTTATTTTAAGATGTATTTTTTAATTAATAAAAATGTTTAATTTTTTTATTTGTTTGTTATGACTTTATGGTTTTAAAAGGACAAATAATATTTGAGCATTATTTTTCTAAAGCTGAACCACTCGTATACAATTACAAGAAATAAAATGATATCTTTGCTTAGGACTTAAAACTAAAACAAAATTATATGGTCAATAATCAAAACATAGTATATATTAAAAGATAAAAAATATATATATTTAAATTTAAAATAAATAATATCAATCATAATTCTTCAAAATATATGTTAAATATTTATTAGTCGTTATAATTTGTAGAGACTGTTGCGGTGAGAATAGGATATCAAACTATTAATTAGTTTGAATCGCAAGTCTTTGATTCACAACCGACTTTGATTTATCCGAAGGAAAAGGTCAAAAGAAGAAAAACCTAATTTTTGCATAGTAAACAATGCGGGGAGAGACTTAGGTAAGGGGTTGGTTAAGTTTAGGGAAGGTACTAGCACCATAAACTTTTGCAGTACTCTACAGGAACATTTTGTTTATTGTTTACTACTTTACTTTAATTATTTGTTTTAGGGTATATTGCTAAAGGTTAAGAGTGACAAAAAGACCTAAGGGTTAGTCCTAAGTTTACTCGGCAAGATTCGCATCTTGTGCCTACGTATCCTAGGTAAGGAATGAAATCAGAGTAATCGTAGTTCCCCTCGAAAGGGAGGTTGGAAACGTCTTGACTGTGGTCAAGGTTTCAAAGGGAGTAAGCATTTCTTAAGGAAACGCTTACGTGGAGTCTAGTGACTCCTATTTCTACGTTGAAATTGTTAATTAGATTAGGATTGAAATTAGGGATTCCACGGCGGGAAACGCTAAAACAGAGCACGGCGACTCTTTGACCTAATGCTAGGGTAAAGGGCATTTTCGTCCATGACGGAACACATAGGCTATTAGGATTTTGAAAACGGTCAAGGTTAAGGACTATTGACTCGTTGGTCAAACTGCTAGACCTAATCCTTCAGAGAGACGCTGACGGTAAATGATGCAAATGACGAAGAGTTATCATATGGCAGAGTTAAAGTACGAAAATAAGGAAAGCGGTAAAGCAAAAATCATTGCGACGATCACTCGCGTAAATCACAAATCCCAAAAATGCAAGAATAAATAATTGCGACGATGACCTCGCATAATTACAACCATGAAAAAAATTGAAATATGAATGAGAATCGAGGATTAGTAAACAGAGGTGAGTATGGGTCAGACGAAAATTGAAACGGCCAGATCAGGAGTTCTTTATTTTTTTTGAATTTTTATTTTAAAGAATAATTAATTTTTGAAAGGAAAATTTAATTTAACTTTTTGAAAAGGAAAATTTATTATAAGGAAAAGTTCTAACCTAGAGGATTTTTATTCTAAAACTATTTTATTTAATTAAGAAAAAAAATTATATTTTTATTTTTAAAAAAAAGGATTTTCATTTTTATTATGATAAAAGGGATTATTTTTTATGTTAATGTGAACTTTTAATAAAATGTTAAAAATGAAGCTAATATTAATTTATCAAAAGTTTTAATTATAAAAATTATTAAATAATATATTAACCTATCAATTCATCCTAACTATAAACTATATAAAAATGGCTAATTCTAAATTATGAAAATAAGAGTTACTAACTTAATTTATTAAATATTAATTAAAAAGAGGAAAAAAATAATAATAATAAATAGAAAAAGATAAGATAAATAAATAGGGGAGGGGCGTTGTGTGTTCGCCGAAATTCATTTTTGGAGTTTTATTATTTTTCTCTTCTTCCTCCAAGCGCCGCCGACGCCATTGTTGCGCTCCGAGCTTTTTCTTCTTCTCTTTCACTTGCATGTCGCGGCCCGCTCTTGATCTTCTTCCTATCTGCACAAAAATGAACAAAAAACAATAGAAACTAGTGTTTTACCTATCCTTTTCTGATCGGTGACGTCTTTATGGGTTTTGACCGTGGGTTGCTTGATGTCGTTCGCTTCCGGATGAACGAAGACGGTAGCGCTTTGACGGCTTTTACGGTTGATAGGCGATGATGGTAACTGAGCCTCATGGGTTTCTCTGAGTCGTTCGCTTCAAAAACTTTCCTATTCTTCTTTCTGACGTTTCCGAGGTGATGATGATGAGCTTCGAAGCTCCTCTGAACCTCCCCTTTGAAACTCGTCCCCCGTTTTTATCTCTCTTTCTCGGTTGCCTCGAAATAAGAACAAATGTTGCCTGGATTTACCGAGGTTGAGAATAAGTCGGGAGTTGACTTCGGATCAATTCGTTACCCTCCCGACATACCCGATGATGACATTGGTTCTAAGGGTATTGGATCAAAACTCTAAATGATATTGTTTATTTGCTGATTTTGCAGGTTCGGAGAGTCGGAGGTTCGAAAATCGGAGACCCAAAAAAATCGAAGAAATCAGAAGAGTTTAGAATTTTAGGATAAATTAAATTGTAAATTTTTTTTTTTTATATTGTAAACAAAATGACTTTAATATTATAAATGAAATGAACATGTTATTATTATATATATTTTCTTGATATTAAAAATAAAATGAAAACATTATAAAAAAGGTAAAATCAAAATCTTTATTTTCTATTGATATGAAAATGAAATGCAAAAACATTATTAAAAATGTAATAAAATTTTTATTTTTATTTTTCTTTTGATGCAAAATGAAATGAAAAACAAAAAAAAAAATATTTTTTATTTTAAAATGAAATGAAAACACCAATAAAATTTTATATATATATTTTTTTATTAATTCCAAAATTCATCCCAATTCATCCGATTAAATCTCGTCTCCGATACAACTTCTGACTAATCCTTCCGACAATTTAAATGAACACCTTATCAGGATAAATCCAATTTGTCGATTAAACTCAAACGACCACACCTTCCCGACTAACCTCATCCGAATAAGAGGAAATTGATTTAATTTCACCGGCTCAAATCCTCCATGATTAAACTCTTCTGATTCAATTCATAACAATAGATTCAAACGGTTCAGATTTCCTGACTGCAACTCAGATTCATGAATTGACAGCCCGACTGCAACTAAATGACCATTTTACCCCTAATAAGCTAAAGAGCGAGCAACGTGATTTTTCCTGCAAAATCAAACCAACTACACAAACTCGTTAGCGGTTAATTAAATGCAATGCAAAAATGTAATGGAATGCGAGACGAAATGACTAAATCTAAGAGAAAATTTTGGGGTATTACAGTTGCCCCTATTTAAATAACTTCACCGGATGATTTGAGCGGCGTAGGCTCGAGAAATCATGGGAAAAGGGATTTAAATATATATAACCGAAAATTTTTCCCTTAGATGCAGTGAGATGCAATGCTAGGGACAAAACAAACAGTCTATAATGCTGACAATGCCATGAATCTAATATGATGCGCATGCTGGAAATGATAAATGCAAGAATGCAGACGACACGGTGACCCAAGGGACAGACGGGATGAACGAACCACACTGGGGAATGCGACGCACTGAAGAAACAACACGACACTGGGGAATTCTAAAGTGATGGGAAACCAGTGCGAGCGCATTCAATTGTCACTTTAGAAGGAAATGGTAAGACGGGTATCCTAAATGGAGATGGCACCGGTGAGACGGCCTCCACTGGGGAATATCTAAGAGTAATTGTTCAACAGGTTCAGGCGTGACCGGATGATACTCGAGGATAAAAAGGTAAAACTGGATCCGCACGACTGCAGGATTAAGTAAACAGAATGCTGGAGCATTGAGCAAAGAATAACATCCGAGCTTTTGGAAACTTTCCTCGTGACGGGATCGAATAGAATTTTCAGGAATCCGTAGAAAATATACAAGGTAAAATCGGCTGTATGCCAAAATAAATGGACTTTAATGGGAAATGCCCTGATAAGTTTTCTCGAGAGAGGACTGCCACTTATCGCTGCGGGACTTACATGCCAAAATGAATATGCTCCCAAATAAAGAGACTGTTGCTTATCTGGGGATAATAGATGAAATATTGATTAGCAAGCTCCACTGGAGGGAATGTCGCTCATCTGATAACATATAAGTTTCCATGAACAAACATGATTAAGCTTCTTCTTTTACTAAAGGATAAAATAAACTTCTTCATACTTCAGGTATGTGCTCCCCTGAATATGATTCAGTTTCTTATTTTACTAAAGGATAAAATAAACTTCTTCATACTTCAAGGTCGTGCTCCCCTAAACATGATTCAGTTTCTTCTTTTACTAAAGGATAAAATAAACTTCTTCATACTTCAAGGTATGTGCTCCCCTGAATATGATTCAGCTCGAACCTCACCGTACTTCAAGATGAAAAGGAAATGGAAACCAGCTTCTCGATGGAGATGGACACTTGCTGCTCCTCATGATGAAGATAGGATAAGCTTCCCATGCGAGAAAGGCCGCTTATTTGCAAGATTAGCAAGGATAAGCTTCTCATATGAGCATTGCTTGTAGAGGTGGTAACATGTAATATACATTGTAATGAAGTTTGTAAGGTAATGTGTAATGATAAGCGTCTTGTACGAGAACTGTCGCATACCGATTGAATGTAATGATAAGCTTCTTGTACGAGATATGTCACA